CCTGCTCAGGTGGCCCCGCCTTGGCCAGTCATGGGGGGACACGTGGTGGGTGGAGGGCCCCGCAGGGGGACGTGGTGACATGTGCAATAAGGGCAGTGGAGCGGGGACTACACAGGCCGGAGGGCTCCAGTTCCACACTGAGGATTTGCAGTGCTTTCTCTGAGCGTCTACTCAGATCCATGATGTCCATGAGAGAAGGTACCAAGTGTGCAACTTTCTTTCCTGAAATGATGGTTCCTTCGTGGCTTCCCCCTGGAAGAGCTGGTCTGAACAGAACAGCCGCTCTCAGCTGAGGGTGGGGACAGGAGGAAGTGCTTACAGGTTACCGTGACAATGTCCCTGCAGTGGCTCTAGGGCTCGGCGGTGGGTGTCAGTTTTCGGGAGAACGGAGTTAAGGGCGGGAGGGGTCAGCAGAGGCTTCATCATGGGGGCCATGCCCGAGTGGCCTCCTGGAGGATAATCCTCCAGGCAGCGGGGAGCCTGTGGGAGGCAGGGAGGTGGGGAGGTCGGGAGGGAGCCATCTCTGTCGCTTTAGTGCCGTAACAGGACTCCACAGACTGGGGGGGGGGCTTGTAAACAGCAGACATTTACTGCTCAGAGCTCTGGGGCTGGACGTCCAGGGTGAAGGCATTGCAGATTCGGCGTCTGGAGGGCTGGTTCACAGAGGTTCTCTCTCGCCATGCCCTCACTTAGAGGCAGGGGCGAGGGGCCGATCTGGGGCCCCTTCGAAAGGGCACTGACCCCTCCCTGAGGGCCACACCCCACAATCTCGCCCCTCCCAGAGGCCGTCGCCTTGGGGTTTCAGCATGTGTCTCCGGGGGACACTGAGAGGAGAGGCTGGCTGGCCCGACGTAGGGCCGACGTACCGCTGAAGGGTCCACTTTCACTCAGCACTGGTGGAAGCAGCAGCAAGGGTTTAGGGCAGGGGCTGGCAGGGTCACTGCTGCCGTGACTCAGGGGATGGTGCGGACCCACCGGGAGGTGGAGGGCAGGGGCGGGGGCTGGGAAGGAGGCCGAGGGGCGGAGCTTCTGGACGCAGGGACTCAGTGGTCCCGGGGCCAGACTGGGCATCGGGATCCCCAGGCTGAAGGGCGGCAGACAAGCCCACAGACCTGGACGCATCCGCTGAGGGGCTTGGCTTGAGCTTGAACGCGACACGGAGAGGACTCCGGCGGGGGGACCCAGCACTGAAAAGGGGCTGTTTGGGGCGCGTATCACTTACGATTATTTCAGGCTGCGCCGCACGGCACGCGGGATCTTAGTTCCCCGGCCAGGGATTGAACCTGGGCCGCCGTAGTGAGAGCGCTGAGTTCTCACCACTGGACCGCCAGGGAAGTCCCTCTCTTAGGATTTTAGATTCAGACTGAAGGGCTGCGAGGGGAGGAGGAGGGCGGGGGAGGGGCCAGAAAAGGAGGCCGAGCAGCTGGGGGAGGGAGGCCCCTGGCCGGGTGGGGAGGAGTGCCCTTTCTTTGGAACCCGGGGGAGGCAGTCAGAAGGAAGGATGCGGGCCCCTTTTTCACCACGGGGAAAGGAGTTAATTCACGCCTGAGACACGTGGCTTCCTAGAGGAGCCACAGCTAGCGGCGACCTAACAGACGGTCTTCACCGCGAGCTGGCCGTCAGTCCTGCGAGGATTCGTTCGCCGATGTAGGCCAGCCGGGCGGCATCACCCTCAGCGCACCGCCCCCTGCAGAAGCGCGGCCACTGGCCCGGGCCTGGGACAGAGCGGGACTCGGGCCGGAGGTCCAGCTGCAGCCTCAGCTGATGTTGCAAAGAGGGCGGGTGAGAGGCGAGGCGGGCAGAGCCGCTGAGGGCAGGGCGCCTCCCGCCAGTGCAGGGGAACTGGAGAGCTGCCCTCAGGCCGCCGAGAGCAGTGTGCGCGGCCAGTGCTGTCCGGCACCCTCGGGGGCCCTGCACCCCGACACGGCAGCCACCAGACGTTCGACAAAGGCCTCGGAGGCCAGGTTGTGGACGTGAGGGACACGGGAGAGGCAGGCGGGTGGCATCAGGGGAAGAGGTCCCGGCAGCCCCGGGTGCGTGGGGAGCTGGACGGCCGGAGCCAGGCCTGGGCTGGAGGTCCAGGGTTCAGACTGTGGTGCAGGGAGCTCTTCCCTGGGCTGCAGTGGGTGGGAGTCCGGGCCGCCCACAGCGGGTGGGAAGGGAGTGGCCGCAGCCCAGGAGGAGACGTCCAGCCGAGGCCCAGAGAGGCCTCCTGTGGACACAGGCTCCCCGTGTGTCAGGAGGCACCCTGGGTTGGAGGGTTGGCAGCGTGTCCTGCCAGGGGATGAGCCGTAGCTGACCGGGTCCCGGGGGGAGACCACGGGAGAGAGGGGAGAAGGGGGCTGGCGGGCGGCCCATGGGGGACACGGAGGGCAGCTTGAGTTCTGTGTGACCTAACGGGACGAGGGCTGAGGGCGGGAACGCTTGGCCCTGAGTTTCCCGAACCACCTACGGCCCTGGCCCCGGGCGGGGGGGGGGGGGGGGGCCTGGCTGTGGCCTGTGGGGGGAAAGATGCTGTGGGGATGGCTGGGGGGGGGGGGGGGGGGGGGGGTGTCGGAGGCCCCAGGAGGTGAGCCGTCTACACAGCCAGCATCCTGCAGATGCGTGAGCCCAGGGCCCCAGAGGTGAATTTGGCTCAGAAGAGAGCCTCTTCCTTTGGAAACACCACCCGCCATTCAGCCCTTATCGGGGAAACACCCGGGACTGGAAACTGGGTCAGGCCAATCCACAAACAAGCCACAGGCCAGCGTTTCCAGGGACGGGAGGCCTGGCCGCTGTCCCTACACCCAAAGAGAACAGGTACACGTGGCCTCACCCATGGTGGACTCGGTACTCCAGGACGGCCTCTCCTTACCATCTCAGTTGTTGCTGGCTTATGAAACAGCTGAAAACATCACTGAACAAACCCCGTGCTGTTGGAACCAAGGGGTTTGGGTTTCACAATCTTGGCAGGAGGCTCTCCTGAAGTTCTGAACCAGGTGACAAAGGTGTGTTAGGCTCAGTGGCATAGTCTGGTGTGTTTGGACAAAGGTCAGTTGGTGGAAGCAATGACAAACTAGTCTCAGACTGGGCTGCAATGTTGCTCAACAGAAGAAATACTTGATCGGTCGAGGAAAGGTACGCAGACACCACGCTAGCTTTTCTTGGCAGGGCAGACTTCTAAACGAGTGCAGGTCACAACTTCCCCCCGTAGGAATCTTAGGCATTTTCCCCAGGGAGCATCAGGAGAGAATTGCTTTCAACATCCCAGAGGAGGTGTGAAAACCCCCCACTATTTTACTGAACAGTCCAAATGCTTCTGCCGTCTTGCTTTCTAATTAGCTGACATCTCTGAGTTCACTTGAATTTTTTACAGTATTTACACATTAGAAGTCGGCAGGCACGCAATAGTCCATACAATAATTCCTTAGGTGTTTCAAATGATTGCAAATAAAATGTTTGGTTTTCTTTCTTCCTGAGATGTAGGAGTAATGGCTTTAACTCTCCTTTTCTTTCCACGGACATGAGAGACCGTCAGGCAGAGCCTGTCGAAATTGTGCAGAGTTACGTGAGGTCCAGTGAATAACTTGGATAAAGACCTCCTTGGATAAGGAATTTAAAATGAATTATTTCTGTCTTTTTGTTCAGATCAAAAGTAATTTATTTCAAGGAAGCATCAGTTGCTGGGGAAGATTGTTGTTTTCATGTACGATTTGAGAATTTCTTTTGGCGTCTATACTGGCAACCATCTTGGCTAGGAGGGATTTGTTTTGTTTTGTTTGCGGTACGCGGGCCTCTCACTGCTGCGGCCTCTCCCGTTGCGGAGCACAGGCTCCGGACACAGCGGCCGCGGCTCACGGGCCCAGCCGCTCCGCGGCATGTGGGATCTTCCCGGACCGGGGCACGAACCCGCGTCCCCTGCATCGTCAGGCGGACTCTCAACCACTGCGCCACCAGGGAAGCCCTAGGAGGGATGCTTTAATGACTGAGTTCCCTGCAGGCTGGCTCCACCAGGCTCTCTCGGGCTCACCCCCCTGCAGCATGGTCCATCCATACCGTCTCTGTATTTTCAAAAACTGGAAATTTTGTGTAGCTTTTGCCACCTCCCAAGATCAGCTCTCTCTCATTTTTGCTTTTTCAATAGCAAGTTGGATTTCTACTCCTATTCTCCCTGAACGTGTCTCTCTTCTAAGAAGATCTTTGAGCCACATACTTTCCTAGTTAATGAGACTGGATACAAGTCAGTACAATTCAACCCTCCTTTTCAGTCATCACCTCTCAGTTTACAAACTGATTGCTACAGTTCTCCAGTTTAGAGGCAAATCAGGGGCGGGAAGCATCCAAGCCCCCCTGTTCTGGGGCAGAACCATGCTTCTCGCTGCCCACGTTCCCACTGAGCTCCGGGGATCCCTCCGGCCGTTGGAGCCCGTGATCTGGGCGGCTTTCTGTTCATCCGCCCTGACAGTTCACGAAAGGTGGGTACCGTTGCCATGGCAACCCTCGCGTGCCAATGCCTGCACTTGAGATTCAGAATGTCTGGCCTAAAAATACTCTTTGGCCCTGTCAGCCACCAAAGGGGCTGTTTTCAGGTTGATAAACTCAAAAAACCTGTCTTCTCTGACATGTCCAGTTCATGTATCCTGTCTTTTCCAAACAAACAAGACTCCTTCACATCCTGTCATCCGACGACAGGGGTCAGCATCCGGTCACTTCCACCTGGTGCCTTTCCCAGGTCAGGTTGCAAAGCAGGCTTTTCTTTTCCTTTTTCTTTTGGAATACTCTTAGATCAACAGAAAAGTTGCCAAGACAGTACAGAGTTCCCATATACTGTTCACTCTGTTTCCCTTAACTCGAACATCTTACAAAACTGCAGTACATTTGTCAAAACCAAGAAATTAATATTGGTGCATAACGAAGCTTCAGACTTTATTCAAATTTCTCCAGCTTTCCCCTACACCATCCTCTGTGTGCTCCCGGATCCCAGGCAGGCACCACGTTACACGTAGCCGTCCCGTCTCCTTTGTCTGGTCTGTGCCAATTTCTCATTTTTCTTTGTTTTTGATGACCTTGACTTTTGGAGAATACTGATCAGGTGTTTTGTAGACTGTCCCTTAATTTAGGTTCATCTGATGTTTTCTCATAATTAGGCTAGAGCTAAGGGTTTTGGGGAGGAAGACCCCAGAGTGAAGTGCCTTTCTCATCACATTGATCAGGGGTACAGGACAGCACGTAACTGGGCATTGATGTTGTGGACCTTGATCGCTGGTCAAGCCAGGGTCTGGCTCCTCCCACGCAGAGGGCTACTCTTCCCTTCCACTGTCAGTTCTTTGGAAGCCAGTCACCAAGGCTACAATTCAGGGGGAAGTAATTACCCCTCACCTCCTGGAAGAGGAGTGTGTACGTGCATTAGGTATAATTCTTCTAGGACGAACAGTTGTCCCTTCTCCCCAGTTTATTTATCTATTTACTCAAAAGTTTGTCTACATCAGTATGGGCTCATGTATTTATGGTATCCTTTGGGTTACAATCCAATGCTATGTTACTTACTCCTTTGCTCTAATTGTTCCAACTTTGGCGACTGGAGTCTCTCCCGTTGGCACCTGTGTCCTTTCGACTCGCCCCCCGCTCCCCACCACTACCTATTTTGGGTTTTTTTACTTCCTCACTGTTAGGCACTCCAGAATAGTCTAGGCTCATCTGGTAACTCCTGTGCCAGCCCTAGATTAGCCATTTCTCCAAGAAGCCTGGGTGTGTTTTATTGGAGAATGGTATTAGGAAGTAAGATCTGAGTGCTGGATGTGCTCATTGCTACTGAGATGACACCGTTTCTAGGCACTCTCAGTGGACAGAGTGAGGAGATGGGCATGTGCTTACTGGCCCATATATATACACACACATCTATTTATTTCTGTATCTGCATATCTATCTATCTATCATCTATCTATAAAATAAGGCTGAACTCACACTGACGTCCCAGCACACGGGCGCATTCTAGCACCCCCTTCTCACCCGCTACCCCACTGCTGATCTGTAACTTCTTTCTTTGACAGTGAGAAACCCAGTTTCCACTCTATACCACATTGCTTATTTGTTCACTCCTAGCTCACGTGTAATTTCAGAATTGCTGAACTATTGCTTTGAGACTACTTTTCTTTCTGATGTCTTTCCCCTCTGTCCTCCATGTCCTTAACTGTTGGAATTTGACACAATTAATGTGCTGCTTTCTTTACGTTTGGATTAAAATAGGAAACAGATCATGAGTGATTTCCCCAAAAGCCTGACTTGAATCATGACTGGCTCTGCCATCTCCTCCTCAGGCTGGGCCATATTCCCAAATGGGGGCAAATGGAGTCCCCCAGACTCCCTTTCTCTGCGTTTCCTTGGACGGCAATTCTGGCTGCTGGCATCAGCCTTCTGCCGGCCGTGATCCAGCCTCTCCTGGACACAGCCATCTGAGGAGGGGGCAAGGGAGGGGTCCTTCCCTCTTGTCCAGCTGTCACACGTCTTCTTCCATCTCTGTCGTTCATCCAGAGGCACAGCCAGCTTCCCACAGACTTCTGGGTTCCAGGTCCTCCCGGTGAGGCCCCTCCTGCCTCCCAAACTGCTGAGTTTGCCCGTGCCGTGCTGTGTGTGGTCACGTGCTGTGTGTGGACTGCCTCACCAGCGTGGGCTTTTGGGTTGTAAGGGGAAGGGAAGAAAAGGAAGGAGCAGCTCTCCCCGCAGGACTGCCCACCGTTTAATTGGGTTACTGTTTATCCTTTGAGAGGCGTGCTGACCCACAGGGTGTGCTGACCCGCAGGGTGTGCTGACCCACAGGGGTGTGCTGACCCGCAGGGTGTGCTGACCCACAGGGGTGTGCTGACCCACAGGACGTGCTGACACTGCAGGACCGGGCTCAGCATTCTGCCACTTCATGAGTCACCGTCCACCCATGTGTCCAGTCATTCAATAAGGATTTTCGCTGACACTGGGTTGCGCTGGAATTATCATTCCAGATAAGATGGGTTCCTGACTCAGGGAACCCACGGCCTAGCAGAGGACAGGGGGACACAGGGCAAGTCCATCAGCCAAAATGGTAGGCGTGGTTACCAGGCAGCTCCAGGGAGTGCAGTAGGACATCGGCCGGGATGCTCAGGCCGGTCCCCCTGTTGAAAACTTTCCCTTCTTAAGTGTCCACCTTCCAGACACACTGCTGCCTCGCTCACGTCCTGGGGATGGGGTTGATTCCCGTTCGGCAAAACTTTACCACACTGCAAACAGGAACAGAAAATCATTTACCTTCACCTAGAAGCATTATCAGACTGTACTAGTTTGCTAAGGCTGCCGTGACAAAATACAGCAGAAATGGAGACTTGAGGTCTGAGATCCAGGTGTGGCAGGGCTGTTCCCCTGAGGCCTCTCTCCTGGGCGTGTACTCGGCTGTCTTCTCCCCTTGTCCTCATGTGGCCGTCCCTCTGTGCATGTCTGTGTCCTGACCTCCTCTGCTTATATGGACACCTCTTATATAGTCACATGGGATTAGGACCCATCCTGATGATCTCCTTTAACTTAATCACCTCTCTAAAGGCCCAGCTCCAAATACAGTCACACTCTGAGGTCCTGGGGGCCAGAACTAGCACATGTGGATTTGAGGGACACAGTTCAGCCCCTATCACAGACTCAGGTCATTTCTCTCCCAAACCTTCAGACAACCACCCAAGGGCAGAAAGAGAAAGACAAATACCGTATGCTAACACATGTATATGGAATCTAAGACAAAAAAAAAAAGGTCATGAAGAACCTAGGGGCAGGACAGGAATAAAGACACAGACCTACTAGAGAATGGACTTGAGGATATGGGGAGGGGGAAGGGGAAGCTGTGACAAAGCGTGAGAGAGGCATGGACATATATACACTAACAAACGTAAGGTAGATAGCTAGTGGGAAGCAGCCGCATGGCACAGGGAGATCAGCTCGGTGCTTTGTGACCACCTAGAGGGGTGGGATAGGGAGGGTGGGAGGGAGGGAGACACAAGAGGGAGGGGATATGGGAACATATGTATATGTATAACTGATTCCCTTTGTTATACAGCAGAAACTAACACACCTTTGTAAAGCAATTATACTCCAATAAAGATGTAAAAAAAAAAAAAAAAAAAAACCACCCAAGGGGGTTTGAGTCCCTTCATCAAGAACTCGGTGTGGGGCAGTCTCACTTGGAGCCTTCACCTGGCTGAACGCTCTTACCCCTAAAGTCTCCAGGATGGGAAGGAAAGGCCCACACAGTGGTAATCCCCTTGCCCTGAGGCAGGCACCAAAAACCCCACGGTTGAATAACTTATGTACTATGCACTTCCCCTAAGTGCAGGAATGAATGGCCTTTCCCCTCACGACTAAGGCCTTTGTTTGTCTTCACTCTGGGGCATCTCACCTTCACCTACACGGGTCCCACCTCTCGGCCTTGCTTTTCTACCTGCAAAGCTCAGGCTTGGGCCACATCCCTTACAGTGCTAACTTTCATCCGTTCTGTTTCTTGTATATATGATGGCTCTTCACTGCTAGAGAACATCACCTGACTTGCTATCAACCACAGCGTGAAATAATTCCCATTTTTACAAAGGAAGGTCCTGGTTTTATTGGGAAAACTGGGCCGTGGGGAAGCTGCATATTTTCAGCAATGATCAGAAAGGTCGTTTGCGGTTTTACAGTCACATTTTCACCCGTCTCCCCCCTGCAGCTCTTTTCGGGGTCCTGTTTGAGAAGAACAAGGAGGCCGCCTTTGCCAGTTACCACCTGTGTGAAGCCCTGGGCTACGTCATCGCGTTCGGATACAGCATGTTTCTGTGTGTCAGCGTCAAACTCTACGTCCTCCTGGGCATCCTGAGTCTGGCCATGGCGGCATATGGAACTGTCGAGTATCTGGGGTCCAAGAAGGTGGCCAGCTGCTCACCAAAGAGCAGACAAAACCAGCTGAGGAAGGAGTAACACAGACAAAAACGTGAAGCAACAAACCGCATGGTGGATGAACCCAGAGCGTATCAGCGGGACAGTTTTACCTGAAGATGCCTCAGAGTTTATAGTTGATTCTTCACGACCTACTTCAATGATATTTCATTTTTTACGTGAATTTTTTTTCTATTTTATCAAATTTTTCAGTCCACCCTCTCATCCACAGAGATCCAGAGTATACGTGAAAGAAATTAACTCAGGGTACAATCAGCCACTCAGAACTTGCCTAGAATCATGGGGGTAACAGCTTATGCTTGTTTTTGTTGTTGTTGTTAAGAATTGGAAGGCTGCTCTAAAAATGCAGCCCAGGGCTTCCCTGCTGGCGCAGTGGTTGAGAGTCCGCCTGCCGATGCAGGGGACGCGGGTTCGTGCCCCGGTCCGGGAGGATCCCACGTGCCGCGGAGCGGCTGGGCCCGTGAGCCATGGCCGCTGAGCCTGCATGTCCGGAGCCTGTGCTCCGCAACGCGAGAGGCCACAACAGTGAGAGGCCCGCGTCCACAAAAAAAAAAAAAAAAAAATGCAGCCCAACACCATCATTTTACAAACAGGTAAACTGAGGACCAGGCAAGTCAGTGACTACCTCTGAGAGTCAGTGACAAAGCCAGACTAGGGTTTATGTCTCTTGAAACTTATAGAGTATGAGTTTCTAAATAAATGCAATTACATTATAGACTTGACTCTTGTCCACATACTTTGGACACACACACACACACACAAGTCATCACATTACCCTGTTGTAGACCATTGGAGACAACAGACAAAAGTAACTTCCAGGGCTCCCCTGGTGGCGCAGTGGTTAAGAATCTGCCTGCCAGTGCAGGGGGCATGGGTTCAAGCCCTGGTCTGGGAAGATCTCACATGCCGCAGAGCAACTAAGCCCGTGCGCCACAACTACTGAGCCTGCACTCTAGAGCCCGTGAGCCACAACTACTGAGCCTGCGTGCCACAACTACTGAAGTCCGTGTGTCCAGAGCCAGTGCTCCGCAACAAGAGAAGCCACCACAATGAGAAGCCCGCGCACCACAACGAAGAGTGGCCCCCACTCGCCACAGCTAGAGAAAGCCCGCACGCAGCAACAAAGACCCAATGCAAGTAAAAGTAAATGATAGATAAATAAATTTTTGACATCTTTATTGGAGTATAATTGCTTTACAAAGGTGTGTTCGTTTCTGCTTTATAACAAAGTGAATCAGTTATACATATACATATGTTCCCATATCCCCTCCCTCTTGTGTCTCCCTCCCTCCCACCCTCCCTATCCCACCCCTCAAGGTGGTCACAAAGCACAGAGCTGATCTCCCTGTGCTATGCGGCTGCTTCCCACTAGCTGCCTACCTTACATTTGGTAGTGTGTATATGTCCATTCCTCTCTCTAGCTTTGTCCCAGCTTCCCCTTCCCCCTCCCCATATCCTCAAGTCCATTCTCTAGTAGGTCTGTGTCTTTATTCCTGTCTTACCCCTAGGTTCTTCATGACATTTTTTTTTCTTAAATCCCATATATATGTGTTAGCATATGGTATTTGTTTTTCCCTTTCTGACGTACTTCACTCTGTATGACAGACTCTAGGTCCATCCACCTCACTACAAATAACTCAATTTCATTTCTTTTTATGGCTGAGTAATATTCCATTGTCTGTATGTGCCACATCTTCTTTATCCATTCATCTGTTGATGGACACTTAGGTTGCTTCCATGTCCTGGCTAAAATAAATTTTCTTTAAAAAAGAATGTATAGACGTAATCTCCAAAAGGATACGACGTGTGAGGTTGATAACACGATGAGCCTGGAGGTGGGGCATGCCGGTCTCATGCCTTCTGCCCACTCACTAGCAGTACCTACGTCCCTCTGTCTTGCTCCTTCCTCACCATCTTTGATGGCTCAGGAACACTTGGTAACGCAGTCACGGCCATTCTTTGAGCCCCGCTTTCTTTCTGAGGCATCCCAGCCTCTTTTCTCCTTTCGTGGACCTGTCAGTTAGCCAGCTGTTTAAACACCACCCCACTGTGGCCGGTGTTTCCAAGGTGTGTCCTTCAGCCCAGCCCAGCACCCTCCAGGAGGCCACCTGGCCACTCTCAGGGGCACTCTTGCCTCTAGGGCTTTGCTCACCTGCCTCGTAGACCTTGAACGCTCTCCTACCCTCAGCCCCTATCCATTGAGCTTGTCTGGGCTATGCTCGTGGCCCACGAACACACACTTTCTGACCTCGGTCTTTTGTATGAGCATCTCCGCCTGCTGGACCTCAAGCCTCCCGGTGTCCACTATGTAATACTAGTGGGTGCCTAATGGAGGTTTGTTGAGTGAAGAAAATGTAGCAATAATTCAAAGAAGGATGAACCCATCCTTGGCCTGTCCACGAGCTTCCAGCCTGGCCCTTCCTCAGTCATTCGTTCACTCACTCACTCAGTACCAACCGAGCCCCAGATGCCCCAGATGCAAAGCTGAGCCAATACACATGCTGTCCTTCCTTCATGCAGCTTTCAGCTTCAGCCAAGAGAGAAGACAGGTGTTAATCTCATAAATAAACATTTCGGCTGCTGTGAGTAGACACATGAGGCCTCTCAGATGCCACCTGCCCCCGCTGGGATTCGCCCAGGACCCCCAGCTCTGGGACTGGCCGCGCTCTGCACCCCCCGCCGTCCAGGCTGGGCCGTCCTGTCCGTGTGGCACTCTCTTGCCCCACCCGTCCTTCAGACAGCTCAGGGGCCGTGCTTCCCCTCCGTCCTCCAGCCGGTCTCCTCAGGCCACACACAAGGTCAGCCGCTCCGCCTCACATCCTGCCTGCCTTTCATGGCTCCCAACTTCCAGTCCTTTCTGCCGGCGCCAGACCCTCCCCTCCGCCCAGGACAGACCCCCTCCATCCCACAGCCCAGCTGCTTCTGAGGGCTCTCAAGTTCACGGTCTGAACGGACCACGACTATAGTCCTCTTAACACCACTGAGCCTTTACGTTCTCGAAATCTCATAGCACCGTTTCCCCTTTTCTGCCAGTCTTGCTGGCCACCTTGCGCTGTGTCTGTTTGCAGGAGGCCTGACTCCTTTGCATTCCCCCAATGCGGAGCTCAGGTCATTTCGCAGCGAGTCAAAGCTCAGTGAGCATCTCTGCAGGAGGCCCTCAGCGAGGGCTGGATAGCCCGTACCACCTGCCGAGCTGGAGCGCTGAGACTCTGTACGTAAGCCACGTGGGCCCTGCATGCAGATCAGGCTGACCACGGCCTGATTCGGAGCTGAGCTTTGGGTGCTCACTCAGCTCAGAGCACCTGAACCTGAGGTGCCCTGCCTTACTCAGGAATCCCTCAGACCTTGGCCCTGAGACACAGTGGCGCCAGGAGTATGCCCTAGGCTGAGGGTCCAGCAGGGATGCACACTGTCCAACAGTGTCCCAGCATCAGAGCCCGGAGACACCCCAGGCAGTCCTGGGTTTACTTTATTTATTTTAATTTTTCGGAGGCCGGGGAGGCGCCCTCGGTGACTGACAGCACTGGTGTGACCTGACGCAGGGCTGCGTGCTGTTGAGCACCTGCGTGCGCCCCGAGGATGAGCTGACCTGGCTTAGAAGGCAACAGCCAAACACTCAGTACTCTTGCTGGGAGTGCTCAGTCCTCCTGAGCCTGGGTGCTGGTGCTGGGGGTACTCTGCCTGCAGAGATCCGGCAGACACCCAGAAATGAGGGGAATGTGGGCAGAGAGGCCCGGACTTGAATGTCCGGCCCAAGGCTGCCCCATCTCCCAGCTCCAGGCAGAGAAGCCAAGCGGAAGGCATCTCCGCGTGGCCCTGAGGCAGATTCCACTGCCTGAAGAGCCCACTCGAGGCCGAGGCATCACCAGGCTCTGAACAGATGGCTGAGCACCTTGTTTTGTTTGCTGCTGATGCCCAAAGAAAACTGTGCCAGAAGCCCAAGCCCCTCCGGGGACGGGAGGGCGTCAGGTCCAGCTGGACGCAGGCTTGGGCGTCTGGAGGGCAGCCACCAGGGCTGCCGAAGCCTCCCAGCTGGATAACACTTTCCCACCTGCCAACCGGCTGCGGGGCCGGCACGTTGGCCCTCCTGGAAGGCTGCCTACGGCATTCGGGCCGTTTCTTTCCTCTTCATCCTTTGAACTTGGGCGTGTGCCCAGGTGCCCTGGTACGACAGGGACGAGAGGCAGAGTCCTCGGGGCTCTTGTCTCCACCTGGGCCGGAGCGGGTGGGGAGGGTGAGCGGTGGGTCCCTGCGTCATGTCAGCGTTGCTCTGGGAAGGCTGAATGGTAGCAGAAAGCAAGTGATTTAATCTTGCTCTTTTACTATTCCATTTGCAAAATGGGACTATTCCTGCTCCATAAGGAATCATTAAGACAGTGTGTGGGCTTCCCTGGTGGTGCAGTGGTTGAGAGTCCGCCTGCCGATGCAGGGGACA